AACTGAAGGCTCTACCTCCCATAGTACATTTAGAGACGCTACTTAGGCCTGCATTCTGGGAGCGTAATGTTCCTGAAGGGTAATACAACATTATCAGCTCCTAAGAAAGATTTTCTCCTGATCAGAGCTTTGTAAGAGGGAAAGGATTTTAAATTATATTCTAGATTTTATTGGAGCCAGTGCAAAGAAGCCAACAAAGAGAAAGTGATCCCTTTCTAGTTCTTGTCACTACAGCTGCAGCATTTTGTACTATTTGAAGAGTCTTCAGAGACTTACCAAAGGTAGCTGTCTAGTGTGCAGCCAGCCTATATTTATGAAGCCATAAACTCCCACTACATATCTCTTGAGGCCAAACAGAGCAGTACAAAACCAGTGAGAGATTAGCACCTCCCCTCTGGCTGGTGAAAACACACAATAAAAACAATTCACATTGCTGCCTTTTCCTAAACCTAAGTTGGTGTTGTGATACTATTTCTAAATAAAAACAGTATTATAAGCTCTCTCACTTTAAAGAAGGTAATAGAAAAGTTAAGTTGAACTTCCTGAGATTCAAACAGAGTGCAGCAACAGAAAAAAGCCTCTTTGTATTCACACCTCGATGTGAAGCCTAACCACAACGGCACTCGAGTTTCCATGCATGACTTGGTCTTCAGCTGTGACTGTGAATGTGTGTTCATCTGTTTGTTTGTGTGTGGGCAAAAAGTTGACCACAGGCAGAACACCTAAAAGTTTTAATGCACAGTGAACTAACCACTAGCATGCAAAAATCTCCTAAACTGTTTCTGCTTCATGTTTCTCTCTCTCTCTCTCCCTCTCTCTCTTTTGCTTCTCTCGTCTCTCTCTCCTCTCTCTGTCTCTCTGTCTCTCTGTCTCTCTGCTCTCTCTCCCTCTCTCTCTCTTTCTCTCTCTCTCTCTCTCTCTCACTCTCTCTCTCCTCTCTCTCTCTCTTTCTCTCTCTCTCTCTCTCTCTCTCACTTAAAGTCATAACTTTATATGCACAGTTACGTCCAGCTACACTTACAGCTCAAAAAGGCAATTTTTTTTCAACCTTTATTTACACTCGAGACATCATTGAGGGGCGGACTAGACTTTAGGGTGGAGCATGCTTGAGCAAAGTACAGATTGCCTAGTGTGAGTGCGCCCTCAAACCTGACTGATATGGCTCATGATTTTGGTTCTGGAAAGAAAATCTTTAAACTAGTCATTTATTAAGAATTCTATATTGTTTGGCCTGTAATTATTGAGATTACCCTTGTCACCTCCCTTATGTAGGAGCAGGTGAGGGTTTGTGGAGCATGCTCAAAACGCTAGTCTAGTTTGGGTCTGACTGAGGTAGGACGTAGGTCAAGCAGCAGTAAAATCAACTGCTGCTTGCCGGTTTCAGTCCTCATGGTTTCCTGTACACAAAAAAACAGGGAATGTGGCAGAACCCTAAACTTGCAATAAAATCACTCGCCAACTAGCCTTTAAGAGGAGTATTGCAGAGCTAAGGAGCAAGCATGTTTCAACATTTAAAGGTAGAATATGCAATATTTTACACATAAATATAGCAGAAATCCAGTATATCCTCTGAAAATAACTCTGAGTCATGACTGTCATGAGAGTCCCGTGGTATCTACACACTGTTACATGGACGAGCTGCTCATCCCCTTGCGTATAAAAGTTGTTTAGTTGAGGGACTAGAGAAAAGAAGAATAACATACTTTACTCACTGCTTATTTGAGTGTCATGTAAGTGTTTTTAGATCACAGTCATTTGGTGTAAATTCACATGCAATGTGAAGCTACCAGCAAACTAAAGAGCGCTGCAACGGGAGACGTGGAGCAGCAGTAAAAACGGCGCACTAAAAAAGCAGACATATATGTTAATTGACATGCGACATTTAAAAGGTTACCAATCCTGCCTTATGCTGTGATAGCCTATTTGGGTTGTACATAAAAGTAAGTTGTATTTAACTTCATCAAAAAAATTCAATATTTGTGTGTTTCTGAGCACAACAATTACATTTGCACATGCTGTCTGACAGACGGCTGAGGTGCTTGGAGGGGGTCTAGAATGTTGGTGGTCCTAGTGTTAATGGATCAAGCAAATGTGTAAAACTTAAAGTCTTGTATTTACTTAAAATGCTGCAGTGATGATGTCCTATTTGTGTTTTTGTGCAGAATCTTCAAGGCTCGATTGTAAAGGTGCTCTACAGATTTCTGACAGGTTGTTCTGGGACCAGGCAGCTAAACCAGAAGACAATATGGCACCCTATTATCTCAAAGAAAGATCTGTGGTTTCTGATTGAACATCCCTGAAGTCAACCAGTGGTGTGTAAAAGCATCAACATTTGCATTTTGACAAATACCCCGATGGTTCTTTAGAATCAGAAGAGACCATTTTTGGACCTGGATGTGGATACACAGTCATTTTAACGCACACATGCCCCTTCTCTGTGTGTGGTTTAACATCCCTTTTGGAGAGTTCTGTGAGTGTGTTGAGTCGTCCGTGTGCGTATGTTTGCAAACCGTGCGTTGCATTCTATATCGTATAGGCTCCACCCTCTAAGGCTATTGCTATTGGATTTATCACTTGCGAACCTGCGCAGCACTAAAAGAGTTGTATGTTGCGTCCACCCCATCCACAAGGTGGGCCCCTCCCATGGCAACCTTTTTCTGGAGTGAGAGTCACCACCATGGTGGCGGGGCAGCGTCCTGCTCCCCCTCATCCAGGGACCTGCTGACGGCCCGTCTGGCAGACCAGTCCCACCAATGTGCCAATCAGGCGTCAGCAGCGACCAACAACCTGTCCAAGCCCATCCACGAGGAGGGCCCCGCCCCAGTCTCCCCTGAGGTATAAAAGCGACTCAGACTGTGTCATCTGTTCCCTCTTTTCTTCGTGTTTGAACTTGTTTTTATGTGAATGTTTACATTTATATCAGACTCCAAAACAACACCCAGATTTCTTGCTTGATGTGTGGCTTCTGTGAAATTGATGGTAAATGAGCGCTGACTCATGATCCCTCCTGTTTGGGACCGAATACAGTTATTTTGTTTGAAAAAGGAGAAGGCCAAGAATAGACCCTTGGGGGACCCCACATGTAATCATTTCATGTTCAGAAACATTTTTACAACCTGAAATAAAGTATTTTCTACCTTGAAGGTAAAGAATACAGCCGTGCAAGTGGAATGACACACAGTGTTCTGTATTTATGACTTTATAAAATCATAGCAGCTTATATGAGTATTCATAGAGGCCAGTCTGACTTTGGGACCTTGTAATACCCAGTTATGCCGTTCTTTCAAGCCAAACAGAGTCATAGCAGGTGGCGGTCAACATGAGTCTGGTTCTGATCCAGGCTTCTGCCTGTTCAACATGAGTCTGGTTCTGATCCAGGTTCTGTCTGTTCAACATGAGTCTGGTTCTGATCCAGGCTTCTCTGTTCAACATGAGTCTTTCTTCCCATTGTTACTTTGCTAAATGTTTGTCTGCTGATGGATGAATTTTGTGTTTCTGTAAATATAATAAAGAGTAAAGTGCAGAGCGGCTGTTTTTGTAGAAAACATTTATTATGAATTGGTGCTGAACAAATAAAGATTGATTGACTGAATGATTGATTATCTCCAAATGATAACGAGACATTTGACAGAACCCTGAAAATGTAAAGCAGATTTAGAAACATGTATTTCTTATCCTCCCAACATGTGGTGTGATGTTTCCTCATAAACAAAGCGCTCATGGACTTACAGAAAGAACAACGCAGGAGACCCGGTAAGCCTGAATGTTACAGTCCTTTAATCCAAGGAGGTTTGACAAATACATTTTATTATGAATTATAGAATATCATTTGCATACACATACCAATACAGTCACAACCTGAGTGATAGAATATTCATAGCACCTCCTTAAGTTATCTAAGTGTAGATATTTGGAGGTAATCAGCATTTTCTTAAGCTTTAAACAAACTAAACCAGCTACATCAAATGTAGCCAAACAGACCTTTTCACTCACTAATTCAAACCAAAGTCCTTCACAGCAGCACACATCCTTTTCCTCTGCGCTACTTTTGCATCCTTCACTGCACCACGTTCAGCTTTCCTCATGGTGAAGACCACAGCAGAGTAAACTTTAGTCTCCTCATCAATCTGGGCAAAGATAGACATGAGCTGTTAAACAGACAAAAACATAAGGACAACATGAACATCTTTAAATGATTTACCTGTTGATTTTTCACCCTCTCGCTGTTTAATTGCAGGACGACAGCAGCTGGATAATGAAACAGAAAATACATGCAGAGTTAAAATGAAAGATGAAGAAGGTTTGATGATTTTTTGCTGCTTAGAGAACGAGTTCGTCTCATTACTTGAGCTAACAACCACAGCTGTTAGGAAGATTATAACCCGGCAGAAAAGTGTCTTCCTCCTTCTGAGAACACGTTGTTACATGAAATTGTATAATGCTTTTAGAACGGGTCATCGTCACTAACCTTTAGATTGTTCACTTTCTTCTCTCGGAGTTTGGAAGCAAATGAGAGAAACATTTCCAATCAGAGAAATCACCAAGCAGAGTATCGCTATGACCAGCCCGATCAATTCAAAACTTGCTGTTCGTTCTAGACAAGAATGAAAATAAAAAATAATGATTTAATTATTAATATAATGTGATTACAGTTCAGGTTCACGTGCGTTTATTTGTACCCTTAAGTAGGTTTGTTTGCAGCCAGCAAGATAACACACAGATTACAGAACAGATGTAACAATGAACAACACATTAGAGAAAGGGGAACTATATATAAACCGACTAAAACATCATAAAAAACCCAAATAATTTAAAAGTGCTCAATGTTCTCACAATAAGAAGCATAAGGGAGAGAGATATCTCAACCAATAATATCAAAAACAAAAATGATCTCTTCAGGCAGGTTAAAAATAATTTTTGACACAAATATGGCTACAGCTTGTTCACTTCTGTGATAGCAGCAGGAACAAAGCTGTTTTTGTACCGCTGTGTTCTGCACGTTGGGACTAAAATCCTCCGTCCGGGGAGAAGCTGAAAATCACTGAGCAAAGGACGAGAATCATCGTTTATAATCGAGGTAGCTATCCTCTGCAACTGTCTCAGAGACGCCAGGAAGAGATGAGACTCACCAATCAGACTCACCCCACATACCTCAGAACGGAGGTACAGAGCACTGAGGTGCAGGTTTGACTGAAACCATGACACCAAAGAACAAGACAAGACTGATCCAATAACAGCATGATAAAACATCATCATTATGGTTCATGAAAGTACGACAGTTTCCTACAGACACAAACACTGTTTAGACTTTTTACAAACCGTTAGCTTCAAAGTTAAAATTCAAATCAATGATGGTCCCAATGTTTTTATAAGATTGCACTTACTCAATATTCTGACCTTTGAATAGTGGCATCGTTCACTTGAGTTTTCTTTCTAAAATCAATAATCATATGTTGAGTTTGAGATATGTTCAGCTGGAGGTAAGACTCCTCACACCTGGTACAAACTGGTCATTTACGGGCCGTGGCTCGTCTCATTCTCTTGAAGCAGACATACAACAACGGAGTCATCGGCATATTTTATAAAGGATGTGTTTTATGATAAATATATGTGTTGAGATCACACCAATCTGCAATGAGACCATCATTTCACACTTTAATCTGCAGATTCTTAGCATAAAAAACGTTTGACCTTCAACATCTACTTTTGTCACATCTCCAAATATGTGCAGTTACAGAAACAGAGCTATTACGGCCGTCTGATTGTCGGCTCCTGAAAACATATAAAAACATATTGTGTTAAGATGTTCACTAAATCTTCCAGGTGGATTCAACTGTTTGAAAATGAATGAAAAATGATTCATATTGAATGCTCTGCAGTTACCTTTGATGTCAATCTTTGTCCCATTTCCAAACAATATCTCTCCACATGCGGTCACAGCACAGAAATAAGTCGAGGCGTCGGAGGAGTTGACGGTCTTTGAGAAGCTGTAGACACATTTCTGTGGAGAGTGAGCCTCTGGACTCTCCTCACATCCTCCAGGTCTGTTTCCATGAGTGTAAATGACACTGGGATGATTTTCATCTGATCCGGCTCTGAACCAGAACACTCTGTGTTTCCCTGGACATGTGTTGTTTTCAGACTCAGAGAGAACAGAACACTGCAGAGTCATCAGGTCTCCTGGGTGGACTGGATCCTGTGAAATGTGTTGAACGACTGAGGTGATACTGGGCTCTGGTCCTGAATAAATTCAACACAAAGTAAATATGCTGGATTTGTTAAAAAATATTCAAAGTAGCTGCAGTTTAGAATTAAGAGAAAAAAATCCTAGAAAGTATGCTGTATGTTTTTTCCTTATTCAGGGGACATTTGGTTGACTGCTGTCATAAATGGTGTTAGGTATTATTTTAAAGAAGTTGAAGTGCATTTTATTTACCTTTAATCTGCAGAAATGTTCCTTTTAAAACTGTCATTTTAATACTCTCTCGTTTCACACAAAAGTAAAGTCCAGTGTCGTCGAGTTTTACTCCATTAATAATCACCACAAACGTTCCAGGCTCTTTTTTTGCTGTGAATCCAGGAGTTTCTTCAACATGGTCAGAATCAATGGCATTGGTTCCTCCCAAAACCTCAGGCAAATCACCAGAAACGAGCCGGAGCCAGAATAATTGTGTTGAATACTGAGAAGCATCACGAGGACACGTCAGAGTCACATCATCTCCAACACCAACAGTCTTTGTCTCAAAGTTCTCATAGATGGTGCATCCTGAAGAAAATAAATATATGTCAGTGTTTAACAACAGAGAAAGATCATGTATGCTCTGTGCTTAAAATAAAACATATTAACCCTTAAAAGATCAGAATTAGACGAGAAGATTGGACATAAACTTACGAGCAAGTGTGAGCGTCAGTAGAAAAACAAGAACAGACTTCATTTTCTCCTTCGTCCACTTAATACAGCAGTAGAATGAACTCGTATGAGAAGCTGCTTCTCCTTCATAGATACATATAAAGTAGGAGGGAACAATCACAGGGCAATCTGATTGGCCCTTCATTATGAGGGTATTACTTTACAACCACAGTGGAAATTTTTTGACCGTCTTCAAGCTAAAGCACATGAAAACAATAGCAGCAGCAAGCTTCTGTTTCAAGTTTTCATGGTGGTTTCTGTACCTGCTGCTGAGCAGAAAAACAATAACTACAGTTTTCTTCAGTATTTTTTCAAACTCAACCAGTGGTTCGTGAAAGCATCAACTTTCCCATTTTGGCAAATACGATGATGGATCTTTCGAACCAGAAGTGACCATATTTGGATCTGGATGTGGATACACATTAGTCCCTTACATGCAGCAGTACCCCCCCTCTGTGTGTGGTTTAACATCCTTTTTGGAGTGTTCTGTGAGTGTGTGGAGTCACATGTCTAGCGAGTGGTCCCTCCCCTAAGGTATATAAGTGGCTGAGACTGAGTGATCTGTTTCGTCTTTTTCTTAGCGCTTGAGTGTGCACTGATGAGTCAAACAATCCCCACTGCTGGTGACCAGTCTACTGGAGCTGCCGGATATTATCTGGTCTGCTGGGGCCCGCAGGTCTTGCAGTGCCATTGGCGTGGGAGTCCGCCCCCTGGATGAGATGGCCTGCGAGTTTCGCAGTCAGGGAGGATCCCGTTGTTCCCTGCCCTCATTCCACACCAGGGCAGAGAAGCAGCAGACCCCAAATCTTTGAGGACTCCAGTCCACTTGTGCCTCAAGTTCAAAGGTTCACAGACCAGGGTGTTTTTAGGCCTTTTTAGGAGTGAGAGTCACCACCATGGTGGCGGGGCAACGTTCTGCTCCCCCCTCATCCAGGGACCTGCTGACAGCCTGACAGTATTACGACGTCATGTACAAGAGGTATTCGTGCTTAGGCACGGTTAGTCTTGTGTAGTGTGACCGCGGCCTCACCAGACAGCAGGGGAATGGCGCTGTGGGGGGGCAATCGTGCTTGGGTACAGCACGGTATGGATGGCGAGTGTGACCGTGCCCTTAGAGACCGTAGGCTATACCTCCCGTAGTACATTTAGAGACCGTAGGTACCACGAGCAGGCCTGATAACTGAAGGCTCCACCTCCCGTAGTACATTTAGAGACTGTACCACGAGCAGGCCTGATAACTGAAGGCTCCACCTCCCGTAGTACATTTAGAGACTGTACCACGAGCAGGCCTGATAACTGAAGGCTCCACCTCCCGTAGTACATTTAGAGACTGTACCACGAGCAGGCCTGATAACTGAAGGCTCTACCTCCCGTAGTACATTTAGAGACCGTTGGTACCACGAGCAGGCCTGATAACTGAAGGCTCTACCTCCCATAGTACATTTAGAGACCGTAGGTAGAGCAGGCCTGTAACTGAGGCTCTACTCCATAGTACATTTAGAGACGTACTTAGACCTGCATTCTGGGAGCGTAATGTTCCTGAAGGTAATACAGCATTATCCTTAAGATAAGATTTTTCCTGATCAGAGCTTTGTAAGAGAGGAAAGGATTTTAAATTATATTCTAGATTTTATTGGGAGCCAGTGCAAAGAAGCCAATAAAAGAGAAATGTGATCCCTTTTCCTAGTTCTTGTCACTACAGCTGCAGCATTTTGTACTATTTGAAGAGTCTTCAGAGACTTACCAAGGTAGCTGTCTAGTGTGCAGCCAGCCTTATTTTATGAAGCCATAAACTCCCACTACATATCTCTTGTTGAGGCCAAACAGAGCAGGTACAAACCAGTGAGAGATTAGCACCTCCCCTCTGGCTGGTGAAAAACACAATAAAAACACTTCACATTGCTGCCTTTTTCTAAACCTGAGTTGTTGTTGTTGTGATACTATTTCTAATAAAAACAGTATTATAGCTCTCTCACTTTAAAGAAGGTAATAGAAAAGTTAAGTTGAACTTCCTGAGATTCAAACAGAGTGCAGCAACAGAAAAAAGCCTCTTTGTATTCACACCTCGATGTGAAGCCTAACCACAATGGCACTCGAGTTTCCATGCATGACTTGGTCTTCAGCTGTGACTGTGAATGTGTGTTCATCTGTTTGTTTGTGTGTGTGGGCAAAAAGTTGACCACAGGCAGAACACCTAAAAGTTTTAATGCACAGTGAACTAACCACTAGCATGCAAGAAATATCTCCTAAACTGTTTCTGCTTCATGCTTTCTCTCTCTCTCACTTAAAGTCAGTAACTTTATATGCACAGTTACGTCCAGCTGCAGTTACAGCTCAAAAAGGCAATTTTTTTTCAACCTTTATTTACACTCGAGACATCATTGAGGGGCGGACTAGACTTTAGGGGTGGAGCATGCTTGAGCAAAGTACAGATTGCCTAGTGTGAGTGCGCCCTCAAACCTGACTGATATGGGCTCATGATTTTGGTTCTGGAAAGAAAATCTGTAAACTAGTCATTTATTAAGAATTCTATATTGTTTGGCCTGTAATTATTGAGATTACCCTTGTCTCCTCCCTTATGTAGGACCAGGTGAGGGGTTTGTGGAGCATGCTCAAAACGCCTAGTCTAGTTTGGGTCTGACTGAGGTAGGACGTAGGTCAAGCAGCAGTAAAATCAACTGCTGCTTGCCGGTTTCAGTCCTCATGGTTTCCTGTACACAAAAAAACAGGGAATGTGGCAGAACCCTAAACTTGCAATAAAATCACTCCGCCAACTAGCCTTTAAGAGGAGTATTGCAGCCCTAAGGAGCAAGCATGTTTCAACATTTAAAGGTAGAATATACAATATTTTACACATAAATATAGCAGAAATCCAGTATATCCTCTGAAAATAACTCTGAGTCATGACTGTCATGAGAGTCCCGTGGTATCTACACACTGTTTACATGCCGGCTCGTCCCCTTGCGTATAAAAGTTGTTTAGTTGAGGGACTAGAGAAAAGAAGAATAACATACTTTACTCACTGCTTATTTGAGTGTCATGTAAGTGTTTTTAGATCACGGTCATTTGGTGTAAATTCACATGCAATGTGAAGCTACCAGCAAACTAAAGAGCGCTGCAACGGGAGACGTGGAGCAGCAGTAAAAAACGGCGCACTAAAAAAGCAGACATATATTGTTAATTGACATGCGACATTTAAAAGGTTACCAATCTGCCTTATGCTGTGATAGCCTATTTGGGTTGTACATAAAGTAAGTTTTATTTAAGTGTGTTCTGTGAGTGTGTTGAGTCGTCCGTGTGTGTATGTTTTGCAAACCGTGCGTTGCATTCTATATCGTATAGGCTCCACCTCTAAGGCTATTGCTATTGGATTTATCACTTGCGAACCTGCACAGCACTAAAAGAGTTGTATGTTGGCGGTCCACCCCCATCCACAAGGTGGGCCCCTCCCATGGCAACCTTTTTCTGGAGTGAGAGTCACCACTATGGTGGCGGGGCAGCGTCCTGCTCCCCCCTCATCCAGGGACCTGCTGACGACCCGTCTGGCAGACCAGTCCCACCAATGTTGCCAATCAGGCGTCAGCAGCGACCACAACCTGTCCAAGCCCATCCACGAGGAGGGCCCCGCCCCAGGTCTCCCTGAGGTATAAAAGCGACTCAGACTGTGTCATCTG